ATACGACCAGCAAGCCTGACACTCTGCGAAACATTGGCATCGGGCAGGCAGACGACATATTCAAGACAACCACATTCACCCTGCTCGATACTGATTTGAAGTTCATCGCGCACTCCGAGTCCCTCGTCTCTTCCGTGAAGAACATCTTCGTTGAATGGGGAGATCTGTTTCTGCTCACTACGGATGGAAAGGTATGTCCATATTGTTGCTTGTCATAGCTATGGCTCACACGAATCAGCTGTATCGGTATCGTGAGAAAAGCCTTCAGCAGAAGCTCGAAATCCTGTACCAGCGCAACCTATACATCTTAGCGATCAACTTGGCACAGAAGACCGGCGTTGATACACTTCAGCAGAATGCGATCTACCGGAAATATGGTGATTTCCTGTATCAAAGAGGCGACTACGACACGGCAATGCAACAATACCTTCGAGCGATCGATAACACGGAACCTTCTCAGGTCATTCGCAAGGTTGGATCTTCCGCACTATTACTAGAGGGAATTGTCGCTAATGATTGCATAGTACCTGGACACACAACGGATACATAATCTCATCGAGTACCTTGAAGAGCTTCATGATCATGATCGGGCCACAGTGGATCATACCACCCTGCTCCTCAACTGTTACGCAAAGTTGAAGGACACTGGCAAACTTGATGCGTTCATCAAAGCTCCTGGTGAGCTGAAGTTTGATCTGGAAACTGCAATCGCTATGTGTAGGCAAGGTGGCTACTATGAGCAAGCGGCGTACTTGGCTACGAAGTATGGCGAGAATGATATGGTGGTCGATATCCTGATCGAGGACTCCAAGAAGTATGCGGAAGCTGTCGAGTATATTTGGAGGTTAGACCCGGAATTGGTTCGTGCACACTCATCGATTCGACCCTACTTTGGTCACTGACAATTCCAGGCCTACCATAATCTAATGAAATATGCCCGAGTGCTGCTATCCAACTGCCCTGAGAAAACCACGGAGCTTTTCATTAAGTACTATAAGGGCCAATATACTCCAAAGACCGAGGTCGAAGCGCCGTCAATGGAACCCCAAGCACAACCGACCAGTACCCTGCAGAGCTTAGCTGCATTCCTCCCCTTATCTCTGATTAACGCTAGCGCGGGCTCAAAGCCGGAAGTAGAAGCCCCGCCAGTCGAAGACAAGGCTACCGAGGAATTGGTGGAGTATCAGATACCCAAACCAAGAACAGCATTTTCAGCGTTCGTGGGCCATCCGGATGAGTTCATCTCCTTCCTGGAAGCTCTAATTCAGCAGGATAACCTGAAAGAGGATGATAAGATAGACCTCTACACGACTCTGTTCGAAATGTACCTGGATACTGCAAGTCGACAGAAAGATGCCGCGCAGAAGGTTGAATGGGAGGACAAAGCAAAGAAGCTTATTGAAGGCAAGGATGTAAGGAGACTCACTTGTTTCTTTTTGCTGAGGTTTGCTAATATCCGTTCAGATACCAATCTCCACGTCGAGTGTTCTTCTTCTTTCTGATCTTTCTGGCTTCCGTGAGGGCTCCACGCTCGTACGGGAGCAAGAAGGCCTCTTGTCAGACATCTTCAGGTCGTTCACCTCCGCGAAGGATACTCAGGGTGCCATCAAAGCGTTGAAGAGATATGGCCCCGAGAAGCCTCAATTATATGTGGATGCACTTACGTACTTCGCCTCGAGCCCGCAGATTCTGGAAGAAGCTGGCGATGAATTGGACGCCGTGCTTAAGAAGATTGACGAGGGAGGGCTCATGACACCACTTCAGGTTATTCAGACTCTGAGCAACAATGCAGTTGTCACAATGGGTCGCTTGAAGAAGTACCTCAGTGACAACATTGAGCGGGAACGAAAGGAGATCTCTACTGTTGGTTGCACCCGCATTCATTGACTTTCTCCAGCTAATGATATTGTAGAATCGCCGCCTGATATCCAGCTACAGCACCGAAACGGAGAACAAGAGGAAGGAGCTTGAACAACTGGGCAGCAAGCCTGTTGTCTTCCAGGCCCGTAGGTGCATGTCCTGTGGTGGCGCCCTGGACCTTCCTACGGTGCACTTCCTTTGCAAGCATTCATTCCACCAACGGTGTCTGAACCGAGTGGACGAAGACGCTGAATGTCCTGCTTGCGCACCGCAGAACTCCACTATCAAAGCTATTCGGAAGAGACAGGTCGAGTCTGCTGACCAGCACGATCTGTTCAAGGGTGAACTGCAACGCTCCAAGGACCGATTTGGGGTGGTCAGTGAGTTTTTCGGGCGGGGCGTGATGCGACCCCAAAGTACTATGGAATGATGAGGCATGTAATGAACTGGAAGATACCTTTATGTAGAAGCATCATGTTGTTTTCTGTCCTTGATTTGTCCGCTTTCTGAGAACTTATACCTCAGGCACCAAATGCTTATCAGCACGTGCTTTCGCGTCGCTCCGCTCCCCGGATTTGCGGGACGCGAGTGAACCATCAGCCAGACTCATAGCATTAAATGATACCAGATCGCGTGTTCCTTCACTTCTATCTTCCAGACGTATAACTAGACCGAACCAATGTCCTCTAGCCGTGTGATTCAGGACTCCGACGATGACGACGATCCTTTGGCGGGGCCCATCTCCCCCCGACCCAGAGTCGATAACACAGATCTTGACATCCGGGTGGGTTCAGGACATCATCAAGCCCATCAGACCGGTCATGACTCGCACATGAACGTCAATTTCGATCAATTCCTGCAATCGCAAGAATCCACCAATTATGGGATCTCTTCCTCCCAGCAACGAAGAGAAGCTCGATGGATACCGGCCGATGCGGGGGGCGGATCGATTGGTGAGGGATACGCCGAGTCCATGATTGTTCAACCATTGACAAGCATACCTACATCCATAGGTTCAATAATGACGGAGATCGGAATTGCACAGCAACGACTATTTAACGATAATGAAGGACACTATACAGAACAATCTGGGTATCAGTACACCGATGACATGGACACCGCGCAGACGGAATCGGTAGCTGTTCAGGAACAAACAGCTGCAGAATTCTCCCCGCATGACGAGATCGCCTTAGTTCCTAATGAGCACCCCCATGACTACTCGGAACAACCACCCCTATATACTGAAGCGCAGCCTGATATATCCGATACTCTGCCCTACGGAACCGGACAGCACCCGCTTGACGCGGCGAACCTATATACCCACGAGCCAACCGCGCAGCCCAATGATCATACGAGCTTCAACTACTCGGTTACGACAGGCGCATCCTACAACATGTTCGAATCGTCTCTCCGCCCATCAGGCAGCTTTGATCCAGAGACTAACATCCCTACCCTTGCAACTGGCACCGTCGACACCGAGATCGCGTACAAATCTCCCCGACGATCTGACTCCGTCCCACCCGTCCCCTTCTCCCCACACGACACAGAACCATTCTCATCCGTGGTATCCCCCAAAGCCGGCCGATCGAAAAGCGACAATGCAGTGCAGCTTTCCCACCAAAGCGTCGATGAGCTCAACGGGCCGGTAACCATCGAGATCCCTGTGGCGGAGAAGAAACGAGGCCGCAAGAAGAAACAAACCATCCCTGAGCATGACGAAGACGACGAGCTAGCCCAGATCCACACTCCTACTATAATCCAAGATGCGACGGCCACCATCACCACCGCCCCGACTACCACTACCACTACCAATAATAAACCCGAAAAGCGCAAGCCAGGCAGACCGCCAAAGAACCCCAAACCACCACGCAATGACGACGACGACCAGCCAGGATTAATCTCAAACGACACCACCGCATTCCCTATACCTCCAGACACCACCACCTCAATCGACCCCCTCACAACAACAGAACACCAAACCACTACAACCACCACCGACACACCCCCACCAAAGAAACAAGCCAAAGAGCCCAAAAAGAAGAAACTCAAACGCGGCAAAACCACCTCCATAACCCTAACAAAGACATACGAGTCCGACGTCGAAGACGACGTAATCTGGGTAGACAAACGACCAGTCCCTACAACGATCACCCCTCAAACAGAAGCAGAAACACAACCACCCGACAACATCCCCGAACATGAAGAGACCACTCTCAAAATCCAAAACCCAGATCCAGAACCCGAACCCCAGCCAGCACCCAAAAAGCACGGCCGCAAACGAAAGAATCCCGTCGAAGAACAACCACCCGCACCCGCGCCCGCACCAGCGCCCGCACCAGCTATAGATCCCCAGCAATCTTCAAATAAAGAAAACAATCCAGTACCTGACCCCAATTCAACACCACAGGACGACGCAAAGCCACAGCAGGAACCAGACCAAAACCGACCTCAAGAGAAAGAGGCCGAGAAGGAAAACGAGGACAAGAGCAAGCCCCAACAAGAACAGAATCCAACACCCTCCACGCCCCTAAAACCTAGTAAAGGGCCAACGAAACACAGTCCCATATCGTCCACGACTAAAGTACCTTACCGGGTTGGGTTGAGTCGGCGAGCGAGAATTGCGCCGTTGTTGAAGAATGTGAGACGGTGATGTGCTGTACGGGTGAGCGGTTTGTGGTTTGCAATTGAGGAGTTTGGGGTCCCTTCGTAAACAATGTGTCTATCTATATTACTTCTGTCTTGTATGGACGGATAAGTCGTGGTTGCATTGTTACTAGTTTGTTCGGTTATGACTGGCGCGATTGTTATCGGGGCATGAGCTATGGACGGCGCGGAGCGCGGTATACCATCTGGCGTTGTGGATTCACCTATTGATTGAAGGATTCAACTTTTATCTCCATGCTCATCGGGTCATGCCATGTGATGCTATCTTAGGGACAAGTCTCTCGAGCATCATGTGCCATGCCAATAGCATGAGTCAGAATATAAGTCTAGTCTAATGAAAGTACAGACCAACAGTTTTCTTTTTCTAAAGCATTTCACTGCGTAAGATGATGCGCTTCTGTGACCGACTGTAGTATACACAGCCAAGCCGTTGTATGATATAAAGAAGGATCAGGCTTTCCGCCCACCATATCAGCTTAATCCATCAACACCACGAGGAATAACAATATCACAATTGCCACTGATGAGCTTAGCTGCAACGCCTTCCCTTCTGACTTCGCCGGCTTCGTGGGTTTACCAGAACCAGCGTTGGGGGCACCACCGCCTTTGACGGTACCAGCATTGTCGCCGCAATTACCATTATCAGGTCGACATCCAGAACCGCAAAATGTAGACATGCTGCCACAGAAACCAGTGCCACTGCAGCAAGGGCCGAACCGCGACCCAAGACAGGTGATGTTTCCACCACACATGCCATCAACTGATACAGTTTTGGCAACATCGTTCTTGGATTTAGACTTTCGGGTTTGTCGATCGTCGAAGGCCTCGTCCTTACGATACCAGAGCTCAGGCGGATCACCCAGACACTCGCCAACCGTCACGGCGCGGTAGCCCTCTGCGATAAGCTTCTTCAACATGTACTCGGTGAGGTTGTGGACCGTTTGTTCATGGACATCGTGAGCGATGACGAGCCAAGGCCTATCGAAATCCGTCCGAGAGGCCAAGTTGCGATCGAAAATGTCCTTGGATTGTTGGATCAGAGCCGGGCTATCATGACTGTAATCTTCAGTGTCGATGTCGTACAGGATGACATGATATCCAAGCGAGCCAAGGTCTTCCAGACAGCCTGACTCCGCGGTACAGCTGGAATACGGTGGGCGCATGTAAGTGGGGATTGTTCCCAAAATGTTTCGTAGGGCAACTTCGTTCCACAGCAGCTGAACCCGGCGCTGATCTTGCGTGACCTTACTAAGGTCTTGGTGTGACCAAGTATGGCTAGCAACTTGGTGGCCACTGCGGTACATGCGTTGAATCAAAGATGCCCAAGGCATCCCGGGACTGTCAATCTCACCCTTGGCATTGTTGTTTCCTGTAACAAAGAAGGTCACTTTTGCTTCATACTTGTCAAGGAGGTCGAGAAGGTCCTGAGTGTATTCCTTGGGGCCATCATCAAAGGTCAGGGCGATAGTTCCTGGAGTAGTACAGGACCGAATGAATTTTGGGCCATAGGGTACGTTGCCTACATGAGGCCGAGGAATCTTGTCCGTAGGAGGGCCTCCTGGAGTTGTGTGAGCGTCGCAATTACCGAAGTCGATCTGACAGTCAGGAGAGCTGCAGTGGTTCTTGGTGTCCCCGCAATAACCTGTAGCCATCAGTACGGGCTAACTCGTCTACAAGGAAGTAGGTTGAACACACCAGCAGTTGAGCAGCATTTACCCTCAGGACACTTGCCATGATCAGGGCCACAGCGAGGACTAGAACCACGCTCGACAAGCTTGTGATCAGGAGCATCTCCGTGAGTAAGGGGCAGAAGATGAGTTCCTTGACGGTTAGGCTGCAAACTGAAGATGTTGCGCGCAGTCGTGCATGCCACAAGACCAAGCCCAGAAACAACCAAGCGAAGCATGTGCATTTTGAGATAGTATATTGTGGTAAGATGTAATCCAGAGTAAACTGTAGAGTAATGTAGACAGTGAGACTTGTATAGTTGATGAGATATGCTGTGGGAGAAAAGAAGAAGATGGTTGCAAGGTAGCAGAACTGCTTAGACGACCGGGCCTTTCTGATGTAAATGGAAGTGACGACCCTGCATGCAGGGCAAGAAGCTGCCGACGAATGCGTTGAGACATCGCGACGGAAGGAGCTTAATCATAAGGATCAGTCGAAGAGATAATGCAGTGACGATCAGGCTAATTTAGAACAGGCCATGATTAGAAAGGAATGCTAACCTATCTCATAAATCATTGACTTGACTGGATGAAAAGCTTCTCGACTACTATTCCCAAGACTAGGAAGTGCTGTGGAACTCCATTGATGGACACTGGGGGGACGCTGCATTGCATTGCTTTCTTCTTTTCATTAAGGGTATGGTCATGGCACCCAGAGAACTGGAAGGCTCATCATGTCTATAAGGCGAGTCCTAATTACATGGAAAGCCGCCGTTCTGGGAATAAAACTTGAGGCTACCAGCACAAAATCATGTCCCTCACGCAATCGCGCCTACGGAAAGCGATATTGGGATCCGGTTGACTACTATAAAGCCGGGCCGTGAGCAAGGTTATAGAAGTGAGATAGGATCGATGCCGACTTACTTGTGCTAGGTTATCCTCGCCAACAGCAGCAAAGACATAAGGGGCTAGTGTAGGAAGATGAGGACCAAACTTGGCCGGGGCACTTTTCGCTACACCACCGACGGTGGCAATGAGGTGACGCCGATGGACTGTACTAAGTTGTGGAGAGTTGAATCTTTGGACCAGCCCCTGGACAAAAGCGCTCAGTTGAGCATCGGAGAAGTGGAGCACGAGGGCAGATATGGCCGTCAGAGCCCTTTTGGTGACCACGGTGCCAGCTGTATCGTTGTCAACGATAGACAGGACGGAGTTTTGCAAGGCCGTCAATTCGGGCTCTTTCAGCAGGGGGCCAAAGCAAGTGACAACCTGAATGAGTACATCAATAGCATCACTGCTGAAGCCCTTTGATGGATCCTTCTCTAACATGCCCTTGACGATCGAGCCACGCCGACTAGTAGGGGATGGAGTCGGGCCAGTCAAGCGGGGAATGAGGACGCGAGAGACGGCCGAATATGCCATTGTCGCCTCCTGACTTGGAGGCTGACCCGGCTGCGGCCGAGGTAGAGCTGTCACAATGTATCTCAGAGCAGTATTCGGAACGGATGTGTCAATGGTTTGCGAGGCTGTCAGGTTGGTGAGCTTTTCGAGAAGAGATGCAAGGCTTTCGAAGGGCAGTCGAAGGACAAGAGGACCAAGACTAGACAATGTACATCGAGTTAGTCCGATTAACTGGATTTTAAGACGGGACTTTGACAAACCATTTCAGGGCTTGGTTCTGGACATCGCCATGTTGGTCATCCAAGGCCTTCAATAAGCCCTCAGCTAGTCTTGATGAGGAGACTTGGTCGTGAGCCAGATAGGTGGAATTAGGATTATTTAAAATGCCAAGTAGATCATTTAGCGACATGTATCGCATATCCGGGTCAGGGTCGCTCAGTTTAGAAAGCAGGCTGTTAAGGCTGTGCTGCACCGACTGCCGGTCCGCCATGTTGAAGCCCCGCAGTGAGTTTCGGCGTTAGGATAGGGGAGGGTGGTTGAGAAGAAAGAGAACCCCTGAAGGTAAATCGTGGGGAGCTATGAAAAGAGAGTGTCTCCAATAGTCGAGATAAGATGTCGCGCAACCAAATCAGGGATGAAGTTGGGACTGGGGAACCACCGAAGCAACAAGTGGGATGATGAATGGGGAGGAGATAGAGTTAAAGTGGTGTTTGTTATCGGAGCTGCTTGTGCAGCCTCAGGCATGAACAAGCTCCTACGGCGGGCTCTTGAGACTATTAGTGCATGTTTCATGCTTGACAGATATAGAATCACGCAGTGACCTCAAGAATATGCACTGACAGGGCCAATTGAGAAGAAGATAAAAGCCTTTGACCAGACCATTTTTTTTTCCTGCTTACCATGCTAAGGAAGATAAGTGGCTATAACCTTCAAATGTTGAGCATGCGGTCCATGCGAGACGGAACTACAAGAGCCAACGTTCTTCCCCGCACGGTGCCATTACATCATCCGCGGTAATTACAGGTGGTAGTACATGGGGAGTACTTTGCTCCTCTATAGTGAGCAACGCTAATAACCAGGTAAACCAGTGAGTAAGTAACCGGTAAAATGACCGTGGCAGCAAGGAAGGAGAGCCACTCCGGCAGCTCCCGCTCCGAAGAAGTGGTGACCAGGAATGGAATTGCAACGTAACGAAGGCCAGTCCGGGACTGCCTTCAATTAGGTCATACCATCCCCGTCCAGCCTCCTGCTTTCCCCTCATACTTTCTCTTCCTTCTTCTTCTTCTCCTTCCGCTGCCTTCTTCTTCTTCCCGTCAATTGCATCCCATTGCTACTTTGTCTCTCGAGTCATATCGTCTTCTAAAACTCTCATCTAGCCACAATCCATCTCACAATGGTTCTCGCACGCCCTCATATCCTCCGCACATCTGCTAGGGCCGTCGGTGCCGGCATCGGCGTCGCAGCTCGTCGTCCCCCGACACAGCAATTCGCTCGCAGGGGTTACGCCCAATCGCATGACGCTCCCAAGTCCTCCGATCTACCATGGTAGTTATCTTCTCTCTGAAGTCAAGTCTCACTGGTTCAGGACACCGGACTAAAGACGCAACTCAATTAGGCTCATCGCATCTCTGGGTCTTGGTGTCCCAACAGCATTCTACCTGCTTCAGTCCGGACCCAAGAAGACCCCTCATCACGGCCACGAGGATCACGGCGCTGGCCACGTCGAGAAGGAGGAGAAGGCCCCTGCGGGTGAAGCTACTCCTCAGCCTGATCGCGATGCAGAGCAGAAGACAGATACGTCTTCCTCTGCGGAGGGTACGCCGTCAACGGACGGAAAGCCTCCCTCAGAGGTAGACCAGGTGAGCCATTGATTTCCCGACAGCAGCGAACATTTCACTCCTTTGCCTTGAAAGGATGCTCGACTGACTGACTTCCCAAATGTAGCCCTCCAGTCGCAAGGACACTGGTAACTCGGCTACCATCTCTGGCAAGCAGGAGGGTCTCTCCAACACCAACACGGACAACCCGTACGTGAACGAGCCTGGGAAGAGCGCCAAGGGCGAGGGTGAAACCGAAAGCGCCAAGGTGAAGGGAACCGTTTCCCCCGAGCGCCCCCAGGCTTAATGGAGAGTGACCGTGGGCCATACATGTGAAAAGTCCACTTATGTCTTTGACGAAGGCTACTGTATTTTATCGTCCATGTGGCATGATCGCGAGCTAGATTACCGAAGAGTTGCCAATGTAACTTTTGCGTCTACTACTTTGTAGCGGTATGTCCCTTCTTCTACAAGTATGTGCGGTCTATGCTGGCAGGAAGGACTCTGCTCAGGCGTGATAGCTCTGCCGCAGGAGTTACACCAGTGACACAAGATATGTGTCTGGATACTATGGAGTATAAATATATCTATTTCTATTCACAAGTACTAGGGACAAATTACTATCGAGTTTCGTACTGAAACTCTTCCTTGCATGATTCCTGCACCCAGCCGCTTGTTGGGGCACTTCCATTGTTACTACCATTGCTAGTACTAGTAGTATATAAATATAGTAATAGTAGGACATGGGGAAATTGGCTGCTCAAGAATGGTGTACACGCTTGGCTACCTACATGGGAAACGGTATGAACTGACGGTAGTACCCAGATGATGGTCAAGTATAGAATTGGAGCGGTGTTGAAATTCAGAGGCATGTTGGCTTACTACCAGTACTACGGAGTAGTACTACTAGCAGTTTGATTCCTTGAGTGAGAGGCGATTGGTTTGTTGACGAAAGACATACGCTTATTTGCGGGCTCTAAAAGCCAGTAATCGACGGGGAACTAAGAATAGTAGTAGTGCTCCGCAGCATGCAGAATGGCCAATGGATTATACGACGATAATATATCATGATCATAGTAGTCGTAGTTTACTACTACTCCATACTAGGACTCCCATTCCGACTATCCGCCGATACCGACGAATTAGTTCTAATTCGATAATCGCAGCGCTCACTCCCAACTTCAAACTCTGGGGAGTATGATCGCAACGAACACGAGCCAGTGGTTATCAATCCAATTTGCCCGAAACACCAAGCTCGTGCCTTGCAGGTTCTGGCGTTGGAAACACGACGACTCGGGCAGAATAGACCGTGACGGGTGAGACCGGTCCACTGTGTACTGACTAGGGAGCCTGTGCTCCTTGCGTCGCGAAAATTAATATCGAATGAATCTCTGAAGGGATCGACGGTGGGCGACAATTGGGTACTTCTTTTTTTCCCTACTACGTATCCACAATGCTCAGACTCTCTTATGACTAAGTACTAGACTCTTAGTACTCCGTAAAGAGGATGGAGTCGGTCACAGCCAGAAGTACTGCAATTGGTTGGCGAGGGGATCCAGTGCCAACTCAGACTGCAATTGTCCACTTCAGGTTAAGGGATTGATTGTGTTTGCAATTTTAGCTGTACTTTGCGGGTCTGGTTGGGCTGGCTATTGCGATGGCCCATAATATTTTAGTTATTATTAACTATTGTTGTTGTTGTTGTGATTATTTCGATGTGTTTGCTCCGACGCAAGGTGTGATTATTGTATTTTCTTTTTTTCTTCCTTTAAGGTGCAGCAGCAGGTGTTTCAGGAGAGGCACGATCTCGGTGGAAACACGGGGGGATCAACCATGAGTCCGGGTCCCTCACTCTGGAACCAAGGAACCGTGGGGAAGGGGAGACAACAGGGAAACAATGGAACTAGAGTTGGGCAGTTAGAGAAAATAAAACACTTGTCAACAAAAAGCATAGCTAACCACCACTAACTAATTCCAGCGTAGATTGATTTGACTGGGGAGGGTTGCCCCGAGCACCCGCCCAGCCCGACTTGATCGATGGACACTAAAACCCAGTAAACCAACTAAATAATCCAACTAAACCCGTGCCGCTGAATCTCCACTCGCCCAAGAATAACAATTTATCGACTTGTAGATTCCCTCTTTCTTCCTCCTCTCCCCTCCTCCCCCAATCTTACTTACATATTCCCTCCCATTCATTATTCCTCTGTAACTAAGCTACTTACTCCTCGTTCCTTGCTTATACTCTCTCCACATACACACCCCCCACCCCAAATCATTGCGCATCGCCTTCTGCAACAAACCCACCGCAGTCCACCCCCGATGCCATTCCACCATCCTTCAGCTCCATGGTCCGCCTGCATCTGCTAATTTCCGCTGTGCTTGCATCCCGCCTGGCGTCCTGTGAATCGCGACGCGCGCCGACCTGAGCTTCAGCCTCTGCGACCACCACCCTCCCTCTCCCTCCCCCCTCCCCTCCGATCCAGAAAATGAGCGACAATCCACCATGGCTGGACCAACTCTCCGACGATTGGGTGCCCGTCCCTGTGCCTGGAACCCCAACCAGCCCGGTCCCCTCTCGGTCCATCTCTCATTCCCGCCAGTCCAGCTTACAAAACTCTCCTAGTCGCATTCCGGTTCCCGCGCGTCGCTCTGTCGCCCCGTCGCCATCGCCTATTGATAAAAAGAAGGTTTCTCGGCCCTGTCATTTTGTGAAAAGGGAGCCGCCCACGCCGAAGACCCCTCGTACCCCCAAGACTCCGTCCAAGTTGCGATCTCCGGTCCCCGATAAGACGAAAAAGAGCCCCCGACCAAACCCACCGTCCAGGAACCTGTCGTCCAGGCGTAAACAATCGTCCACCATGGACACGAGATCGCCGTTGCGATCGGTCTCGAACGCCTCCAGTCAGTCGGTACAGCAAAGCACTGTTCAAATCAAACCAAAGAAGGCCAAGGGCGGCGAAGGGACCCCGGAATGGCGGAGGAGACTGGTCCATGGAGATATCCCTTCCGGTGAACAGCGCGATCTTTTCGCCCCAATTGGACTCGAGAGTGTGTTCAAGCCGCCCACCCCCGGTACCGAGAAAACGCAAGACGAGGCCATTTCCCGAATGAAACACTCGGATAGCGTCTGGGACTTCTCCACGTCCTCGGACCGACGCGACAATGCTCCTTCGAACGGACCTCCTGGTGATGGTCAACATGTGTTTGGTGAGGGTACCGGCCATTCCTCCTCTCCGAAAAGCCCCCGATCCCCGACCAAGTCGGCGCGTCAAGATCAAGGAGAACTCCGGTCGACTCCAGGAAGCCCCCGAGGATCGCGCAACGGGATGCTGGATGTGAAGAAAGGGCCTACGAAATTTGTGTTGAACCAAGGTGATGGTCATGAGGATTCTTGGAATGGCACGCAAATGAGATCGGCTAGTGGATTGGAAGATATGCGAAATGAAGATTTCACGCCCATTACCTTCTCCCAGCCAAATACAATGGACGGAAACGCTGCATCAGAAGTAATAAGGTCCGCGTTGAAGAAAGTGACGAACAAGCTCGAAAGACTACACTTGCCGCCATATGAACGGCCCGACTCCCCTGCAAGTGATAGCTTCCTGCTAAATCAACCGTCGGAGGCCCCCGTCGACCCGTTACCGGAAGATGATCTACTAGATGTTACCAGTCATTCTCTGCCCAAGGACCTCTCCATGGGGACGCTGGATTTCCGGGGCCGCGGAGCTTTTGCGCACCTGCGACGAGACGACTATCTGAACGAAGGCTCTTTCCAGAAGCTACATCTGTCACCGCCACCCTTTCCCTCTGAGCGATTGTCACCGTTCCTGCCTTCCAACCACAGAATCCGGAGCTCACCACCTTTCTACCAGAAGACTAATCCAGTAACGGATCCCCCGACGCTCCCTCGACCATCGTCTGCGCATGTTGCTGCTCGACCCGGAACCGGAAGAACCGACGTCATGCCCTCTTCAGGCAGCCCTTTGAAGCTGTTCGGAAACCATGATACCTTTACAAACAACAGGCTATTGCGACGGATGAGCCAATTTGAAGAGACCTATGGAGGCTTTTCGGAGGATGATGAGCCCGTGTCCCCTTCAGAAGAAGCGCGGCGTAAGGGCGAGTCGAGGAGTTTCATGAGCGCACAACAAGACGCGTTGGGTGAGGCCAGCGTTAGAAGACACGAGCGGCCGAGATCGCGAAACACGCCGAACCCTCGACTCAACCGATTCGGTGACGGGGAGCTGGACCATTTCGACTTCTCTGATACCAGCCCATACGAGCCAAAGCTGCTCAATAACGAAGTTGTAGGCTCTAACCAGCGGCCCCCTTCGCGGAGGCTCTCTGTCGAACGGGGTCATCTGGGCCGCCGTTCGTATAGAAAGCAAAGCCTTGATGGTGGGTCAAACAGATCTACAAAGAATTACAAGTCAACAGAGACGTTAGAGTCGGCCTCGAGTGCCAATGCCCCTGATAAACAGGGCCTATGGACAGTCGAAGAGTTCCACCACTCCGAAACGGGATCAAGACCGAATTCCCCAGCTAAAGATCCCCATCCAAAGAGGCGTCGAACCCTTCTTCA